GGCGAAAACTGGGAGCAGAGAGATTTTGTTGGGAGACAGGGGCAGTATGTGAAGCCATTCCCTTCCCTCTGGCGCCCGGAACAGAGAGCCATAGAGAGGAGCCAGGCATTTTGAGCAGCCCTGGGCTGTGGCAGGCAGTGAGCCTGCCTCAGAGTCCTGCAGGACTGTTGGCCAGGAGATGCCTAGATAAGCACCTCCTGGCCAGAACCTGTCTCTGGCACTCCAGCCCCTCCTTTCCCTCCAACTCTCTGCCCTAGACCACCCCCCCTCCCTGCTCCATGTCATCACCCAAACCCTCTGTACCTCTCACCCCACGTTACAACTCACTCCCAGACCCTGCTAAGGATGTTAAGTAGCGTGTAATTCACTAATCGAATAGTCAATAGGGCAGCACTGCCCCTTTGAAACACTGCCACAGTGTTTCAAGGGGGCACTGGTGCATGGAGCCCAGTCTCAGCTAGGGATGCACAGCTGATCCCAGGCTCTCTCAAACTCAGAGGGCACCCCTGCTGGCTTCCAGTACTCCTATTCTAGTGAGGAGTAAGGGAAACTGATGGGAGCATTTGCTCCCATTGGCCTCCTGTTGTGGGGACACGGCCAAGCTCAGCTTAAGGTAAGCTGACTCCAGCTACGTATTTTACATAGCTGGAGTTGCATACCTTAGCCAAGCTGCCAGGGCTAGCGTCGACCTGGCCCAAGAGTGATGTAGACCCACCTATGTCTGTTTTATCCTACTTGGAGATTTATTTAGTAGAGTGGCTTCTTGGTGCTACAAAGGGGATGGAGCTGGAATCATGTCTGAATAATGACCTATGTGTTTGGGACTTAATATTAGAGATTAATTTACCTCAAAAACCCCACACTATTTCTCAGTGCACTCCTGGTAACAGGATAGGCTTTAGCTCCCATTTTAATAAAAGGTCAGTAATGCTGTAATTTTCTAGAGACATGTTAGCAGGCCAAACTAAGGGGTTACTTTACATTGAAATGTAGCAGCAATAAGCTGGCATGAATTAAGGCTCTACACAATTAATAGCAAAATGTATCAAAGAAGGCAGAGGTTTGTACATAGACTACTAGATCTTCTCTCAAAGCCACAATCGGCATGCTTGGATTGCATCGTGTCCCCAGAGTGGTGAAATCAATACAAAGGGTAAAATGGCCCTTCAAATCTCAAAAGCTAGGTGTATGGACCTAGATATAATGAGC